AAGTAGGTGGATGTGGTGGCACTGTTATGATGTACTACTACGATTCAGTTCATGACAAATGCAAAAAGTTCTTGTGGACCGGATGCATCGGGAATGGAAACAGATTTCCAGACTTCAATACCTGCAACAAAACCTGTGCTGGCGTCCACGGTGAGCATACATCTTTCTCTTTGATTCTTGGTAGTTTTATACATATACTCTAAGATATTAATATGTCATTACATGTTTTATGACTAATGAGTCAAAACCACAGCACAGTGATGTCATGTTTTTTAACAGACTGATGTTAATTGCTTTGGTCCTCAGATGACGGCGATGACCCAGAGGAGGATGACCCAGACACTCCTATTGGTCAGTAGACCTCAGTCCTAATTTACAATATAATCTCACATCCTTCTTATTTTAAAAGTGACACAACATATTACTGGTTTGTTTTAGTCCAACTTGGTTGTTAACACAAACTGTATGTTTGTTTGTTTGTTTTTTTGCACATGATGCAACAATCTGTATAAAAATGTTGTCATATGGTTTCTTACTTTGTAATAAATCAGTTAACACAAATCCTCATCTGTTACGCTGCTCTGCCCCCTAACAGCGATCATCTGTGGAGTGCTGCTTGGCATCATTATTCTTGCCGTCTTTTTAACTGTGATTATCCTGACCGTTAAGTCAAAGTAAGATGATTTTTCTTTGTATTTTTTCTTTTATGCTTACAACTAATAGCTGCTCTCCTAAAAATATTTTTAATGTTTATTGAACTTCCCTAGGAAACAGAAGGCGAAGAAGAAGGGCGCAGGAAGATCTAAAGACGCCCAGGCTGACGCCCCTCTTCAGGAAAGAGGGATTGAAATGCAATAGAAAATCACCTCAATATAGCAGCACGTGGAGTTGTTTTTTTTATCAGCTCGGATTTGCGCAGTAACTCCACTAGTCTTGATATGAAACATATCATGGTTGCTACTGGCTATAACATTTCTGAGTTCAACTTAGCCACTGCAATTTTTGCTCAGTTTTCTATTTTGTTTTATGTGCAAAGGGATGTTTCTCAGGTTGTATCACTTTTCCTTCAAGCTTTATGCCATACTTTGAATCAGTGTAATCAATTTACGATTGAATAATCATTGAAGTAATTTTGACAGGAAAAATCCAAAGCATTTCCTGTTTTCTCAGGTTTTCAATTGTTAGGATTTCCCGCATTTCTTTTTCTGAATTGGGTTTTTCGCTGTTGGTCAGACTGAACAAATCATTTGAGATCCAATGAACTGGGACACATATTTCTCACAAACTCTGGACATTTTAAAGACCAATTCAATCAACATCAGAGGAAACAGTTGATTGTTAGTTTGAACCTGAAAGGAGACACGCCCATTGCTCGGAGGACTTTTGGGAAAAATATCCATTTGAACCAAGTCAGTGTTTTAGACAAACCTTCAAGCATGAACATAAGCAGAACTACATCACTGCCTGAAACGCTTTTAACGTGATCTCATAATCATTTCACTGTTTCCAAAATATAACTGAATCATCACCTGCTGATTTGCTGAAAACTGGCTCAAGTCTTCTGAACGGACGTGCCAATTCAAAGCCCAACACATATATTTAGAACTGTTTTTGTACAATGATGCCTTGTGCAGTCTCTGTAATTACATTTTCCTGCTCAGCATTTGTTAATCTCTTGTTTTAGGTTGTAAAGATCTCGACACAAAAATGTCAAAAGCATCCTTTCACATTTTCTCACATTTATCCGAAAATTTGCATTTTATTGATTGCTCATGTACTGTATTTGTGACAAAAAAAAAAAACCTCTTGATATTGAACTTACTTGGTGCCTTACTTTAGGAAAAATGTGCTTTTGGAGATCCAATTTTTTTTATTATTATTGTTTAGAGTAGGTGGTGTAAATATCCATTGGACATCATCAAAATCTATGTCTAGTGCTAGCAATCTTCTCAGTGTTGTTTAACAGAATACGCAGCATGGCCTTCTTTTGAAGCTGCTTTTGTACTGTTTGAAGGATTGAAACAAGGAATTGTTTGATTAATTCAATAAAATATGCTGTTTGAGTTTACTGTGAGGTTTTTTTGTTGTTGTCACTTTTACATTCTAACACTTGTTATGAAGTGCAGCTTTTTTCTTAACTTGTTTTGTTTAGATCCTTTGCAGTAATATTGCTGATGTCCAAGGCTGGATAGGTCGACAAAGTAGGCAAATGCCCCAAACCCCCACATTCTAAGGGCACCAAAAGCCACAGGTTCACCCACCTGGACTGGTTATGGTAATATTACTGGTGATTACTTTGTCAGTTAGTGAGAACTGTTTGTTTTGTAACTAATCAGAGTTATTTCCACCATTAAAGCACAAATCTGTAAAAGTGGGACCTGTATGACTACCTAATTATCTGGTCCCATCCTGTAGAGGGGCACTGTGTAAAAATCTAGTGTTAAGACTTTCATTATTTAGGATTATATTGTCCTCATACAGACCATATTCCTAAATAAAGATGTGTTTAGGGCTGCAAGGTGGGGCGGTGGTTAGCATTGTTGCCTCACAGCAAGAAGGTCGCCTGTTCACGTCTGCGTGGAGTTTGCATGTTCTCCCCGTGCAGCGTGGGTTCTCTCTGGGTTCTCCGGCTTCCTCTCACACAGTCCAAAAACATGTTGAGGTTAATTGGTGATTCTAAATTGTCTGTAGGTGTGAATGTGAGTGTGCTTGGTTGTCTGTCTCTAAGTGTAGCCCTGTGATAGACTGGTGACCTGTCCAGGGTGTCCTCTGCCTTCACCCTGAGTCAGCTGGGATAGACTCCAGCCCCCCATGACCCTAATGAGGATTAAGGTGTTTAGATAATGGATGGATGGAAGATGCTAAACTGCCACAAAATGAGACATATTGAATATTGTCTTTAATGGGAGGGTCAGTGTGGCCCCTAAACAGGTTAATCTGGGCATGTGGATGGCTCCGGTTCATATCTATTAAAAAGCAGCCAAGTGAGATCTTGGGAGTGCTTTATAAGTGCATAAGACATCCAGAATGAATCTCTGATAACATAAAAAGGCACAGTTTGACTAAATATAATACTCCTTTTAAATGCGTTGGACCCATGATGTCATGTGTAAAGACTGTGGGTCTCGTTCAGTGCCAACTTGAATAGTAACTGATTATATTAATGTTTTTGAGTACTGTGCAATATTCAAGAGGCACACGTTGCAGCTAAACATGATTTGTTTTGCTGATCACCAGCCCCCAGGTATTGATTTGTTGTTTCTGTACAGACTCTTTGTATCAGGTTCATATTTCAGTAGTTAAAGTTAAAAGTTGACGTTCAAAAGCTGAAAGTTTGGTCAAAATGTGAATGTTATTCTGGAGCAATTTATAGAATAATTCTGATGCCCGCACTCCCAACTTGATAAAATCCATTTCCATTAATCCCCTTACCAAAATATACATAAGACACCATAATATACATCACGTCTACTATGATGTCATGAGACCACTGCTTCAAAGGCACCACTGGCAAAATGGGACACCTTATATTTTGATATAAAAACAGAGAAATTAAAGAAGATAAGTGAATTTGAATGCCTTTAAATAACCGTACAATTAAAATAGAACAATAATACTGAAATACTTCTGTGATCCATTAAATCACTATTTAGCATTGATTGCCCTTTCCTTTTCAAAATAATTTAATAAATTATTATTTAATTTACTAATAAAGATTTGAGTTGTTTTTTTGTTTTTAAGAAAGAAAGAAAGGCTAAATTCTAAAGAAAGGTTAAATTCTCTGATTTAACGTTCTTCAATATGAATATTGACATTAAATGAAATATCTTACGTGACAAACATGACAATTGAGGACATTATCTTGGGGTTTGGGAAACAATGATTGATGATTTTTTTTTTTACTATTTTCTGACCATTAACAGGCGAAATAGCTAATTATTTAATCAAGAAAAACACCAACCGATTACTCAATACTGACAATAATCTTGAGCTACAGCCCTGATTTATTTACATATTACATTGACAGCATTAGAGGGTGATTTAATCATAATGGACAACATCTTTGTTTATATAAAACCAAAAGTACAATCCTGAAAAGGGGCAAATTTCCTCATGACTGGGAAACGACTAGTGAAGAAACCCTTGAGGGGATCCTACCTCGCCAGTCATTTTGACCCACACAGACTTACTACTTATATGTAAGATTACCTTTATGGTCATGTTTAAATGTTGTTCTTGCTTTACCTGCATCATAAATGTGATATAACACAGAAATTATATTGGATTTTTTTTATTTCTTTTTTTTTGTTCCTTACTTTTGAATTGATGGGCCTAAGAAAACCATTTTTGTACTGATGTTTCGTCTGACATTGAAATTTCTAATCACCCATCATCAGATCCAAAGAAAAACCAAACAAACAAGCAATCATGAGGGGACATGTCAGCCCAGTTTAAGCTAATTCCTAAATAATAGTGATCTGGTCAAATGTGACTCTTGAGATTCAGAAACAGAAACTTAACTTAAGACGTCAGATCTTCAACATATTGATTTAAATAAAGGAATTAAGCTGATAATGGGGAGTGTTTTTTGGTATCAGTACCAAATGATTTCCAGAGGTAAACATTACCCGGTGAGTTACGACTTATTTCTCCTTCCATTTTCAGTTCGCCTTCACTGCTGGTACTTCAGTGCTCCAGAACGCATATTTAAGCCATAAACATCAATGTAATATCCTGTATATTTACAGGGAAGTATCTTAAAAGACACTTTCCTTGTGACAGCTCACCGCCACTACCTGTCTGAAGAGGAAGAGGCAGCGACACAACTGCGCATGCGTGACGGCGATCAACTTCCAAACAAGACTCTCAATATGACTTAATTTGGTAAAATATACGAGCCTCCAAATGTCAGTGGATATAAATACAATAGGAGAGGATGCTGACTCAGGTACCTACGGGTACGGCCGTGCGGTATGAGCGAAGAAGGAAGCAGTAAAGAGTTTCTCCGAGCAGCTTTTTCATCTTTGTGCTGGCAAACGGCCGAGCCGGCAGACACTGCGTCACTTCCTCAAGTTATTTCCATTTGTTTGTGGCGAGCGCGAGCAGTTATCTGGTAGCTTCTCCACCAAAGATAACCTTTGTGTTTCATCCTGCAGCATGTCAGCCTGGAAACAGCACTGCTCCTGTTTCATCTACACTGTTTTACTGTGAAATGATGAAAGCGGCGTAGAAGCTACCAAACGTGTCGGCGTTAGCAAAGACAGGAAAAACGTGCGATCAGAAGTAGTTGGTCAGCTAGCGTTAGCTAGCTAGTTTAGGTTAATTGGCTAACTATTGTTAGCCGCCCGGGTCCTGGTACTGCTGGTGTTGGATTGTTGGCCAACGTCGGCTGACTTACTCACGACTGTAAGCTGATGGAGTGCCCTCATCTGATCTCAAACGTAAGCTCTGCCAGCGATTCCTCCAGGTTCCCTAACGGTACTCCGTCCTCCTGGTGTTGCAACGGTGAGACAAGTGTCTATCTCCCTTTCTTGCAGCGTTACTAAAATTAACTTCAGTGTTGACACATATTACAGCTATGTGTGCAGTATTTTGGGATCCCAGCCTTTAAATGTCTGTTTGTGTCAGTTCGGTAGATACTGTTACCTCAAGTCAACACAGCAGCGATCACAAGGGCAAATCACAATCCACGTACTGTAGAGCTGTGAGCCGCTCAAAAGCAAATCACTGCAACACGTTTATTCATGAACCAAGGTCTTGTTTCATATCCAGTTTGCAGGTCCAATAAAAGCCCATGGATTTGCCTTACCTGCCTGATGGTCCACTGTGGACGGTAAGCTGATCTCATAATTATTGTGCTTTTTATGCCCCTTTAACATTAGAGAAAATATGTTTGTTAATGTTTGCTGTAGTACATAAACAAATGTTTATAGTCTGCAGAGATCAGTCAGGTGAACTGAATACATTTTAAGTGTTTGTGCAGAGCTGTGACTGTAATGGATCTGATGTGTCTGGCTAGCACTGGTTCTTTTTTTCTTATATATTGTAATTTCATTCATTTTTTACAAATATTTGAATAACATAATGGGTCACTTAGCAACACTTCCCACTGTTTTGGAATTATCTCAGTAGAGGGAAATTGCACATTTTCTTGCTTGTGTTTTATATGGCACTCCAAAAACACACTTTAAAACAATGTGAAATAACATAAACTTATACAAATACATCTGATGAGGAACCTTTTCTGATTTGTGTCGTATAAATCAAACATTATTTGGAAACCACTCCTGATCAGTAGGTTACTTACAAAATGTGATGTGGAAACTTGAAGCCTGCATTGCACATATGTCAAGGAAGAAGAACTTTTGAAACACGAAATGTTTACGTATTCAGTGAGGAGGTGTAAGAGTTTCTAAACTGATCGTCAAATGGTTTTTAATACAATAAAATATATCAGACAAATAAAAAGCACATTTTTTAAATATCTCTTTTAAAATACCTGGATCTTAGATAACATTTGTAAACATATCTTAAGCTAATGCCTGGTACTGGTTATACTGAATTATATTCAGGTGATTGCAAATTCCTCTGTGTTTTAGAATAATCTCTTTCTCCATAGATATGTCAATGGACATGCAAAGAAACACTTTGAAGAGAGCCAAGTTATTGGCTTTAGTCAAAGGAAGGGTGAGAAACAGGAGAAAGAGAAAACCCATCATTCTGTCTGCATGGACTGCAGCAACTACAGTGTATTTTGGTGAGTGTCCTTGATATTCGTTATTCTGTGACTCGTGAGTGAAATTCTTAACAGTCAAAGGATCATGCTGTGGTAATGGAAATCAAATTTGTAGAACAATTGTCATGAATTTACTGAGGCTTCATCAGTAACTTTGTAAAGCATCCAACATTATTGTGGTCCCAGACAATCACGTGTTTAGTTATTTGATTAAAATCGCTTTTTTACAAAATCAAATCGGTGGTGAAATGCCGCAGCTACCACAGTACAACATGGCTCTATGTATTATTGATTATGTGTTTCTTACAAGGCTTCAATGAATGTGAATATTATGAAGTGTATTTCTTCAAATATGTAGATGATTTGACTGATGTGGGTTTTATAGTTACAGATGTGATGACTTTGTTGTCAATGACACCAAACTTGGACAGGTGCAGAAGGTCAGGGAACACCTGCAAAGTTTAGAAAAGTAAGTACTTGTTTTAAAAATAAAGTATCTGTATATGTTTTTCTTTTTTTTCTTTTCTTATAGTTTTACTTTATTATCATTACATTTGACAACGATGTATGTAAGAATAGTTCAAATGTGGGATTTGTTTGGATATTTTGATAGTGTTCTGCATAAAAAAAAAGGCCAATGCATATCTGCTAGATTCCTAAGCAGGAAGGTTCAAATAAAAGATGTATCACAACATTGCTCGATGAATGAAATGTGCCCAAATAAATAGTCTCTTCTTTTTACAGTTCAGCACTCATGGGGGACAGACAGAGGAAAAGAAAGCTTCAGGAAAACCTCGCTCCAGATAACAAACTGTTAAAAGACAATGTAAGTTGAAAAGTAACATTGTTTTTTTGTAAGATCGTCCAAAATTGCACTACAGCACAGAAAGACTCCACTACTCCTAAAAAGTTGGTCAAATTTTCCTTTTTCAAGTCTATATTCTGTCTGTGGCACCAGGCTCCAATTAAATGAGTCACAGCTAGCATTTATAGAGCCCTACACCAAGTGACTGTCACGATAACTTTAAATGTTAGTTTAAAACACGCTGCCTTGTCATGCTTTTTCCATACAATGAACATACACATCTTTACGCAATCGTTTGTCTGTCTCAGGACGGGGCGGCTTTAGGTGCTACAGGCCTGCGAAACTTGGGCAACACGTGCTTCATGAATGCCATTCTTCAGTCCCTCAGGTAAGGCTCTGCTCTGAGGAGGAGGAGGAGGTATGTGGGTGGTAAACTGGGTATGCAGCATGATTCAGTAGCTTTGCCCCTGTAGACCCAGGGCCCCACAACCAGTCATCCTTTATTAATACAGTCTGGGGCACAGCAGGGGGATTACAGAGGCTGCTTGGAAACAAGACACAGTCAAAGGCCAGGTTTCCCAGCTAACACACATTTTGCCTCGCCATTGAAGGATTATACCAGCATGTTTCCATACCATAATAAGTTTTTTTTTCTCCAATCTGTTTTCCTGCTTTTTAGCCACCTATTAGTTTTCTTTAAGTATGTTTTTGATATTAATTTCCAGATTCTTGAGATGTTTTTCCTACACTAAATTACTTCTGTTACTCTAGTTGTCTTAGTGGTATTATAATTTCTTCACCTGGCAACCTCGACTGTCCCATCGATAAATAAATAATGAGATATAATTAAAACATAATAACTTCTAACTGTACTGTTACCGTGTTGTTGCCTCTGTAAAAATGCAGTTTAAAAGCTTCGGCACACTGTTGCGTTTATTCATTTTTTACTTCAAGTTCTACACACTTGCGCTCACCTCAAAGAGCTAAAGTTTGATTTGACTGTAAGGTTCCTACAACATCCTTAGAACAGGGAAATAGAATATTTTAATAAAGAATTTTCATTTCACATGACAACAATTAAACCTCTGAACCCTGAGTGCTGGTTGTTCCTGTCATATTTTTTACTGCATGCTAATCCTTTCCTGCAATATGCACCTCTATGAAAACAGCACAACCCTGTCTAGAAGTAGAGAGAGCTCCAAAATATCTGCTATGCATTATAACAGTTATAATGCCATGAATCATTAAAGAATAAACAGCCGTTGAATTTCAGTGATTATTTCTTTTATAAAAATTGAAAAAAAAATGGGATCAATATGTACACAAAAGGCTCTACATGCCTGGATATTTTAATACTTAGGGCCAGTTCATGCCGTCCATGTCCACAAGGGTACCTGTGATGTAAACTTAGTCATCCACCCAAGACCACGTGGACCGTCTTCATGCAGCTCAACATTTGTGACCATGCAGACTCTTTACATAAGTGGTGCTCGAAACAAATGTTTGGTAAAAGGAGGGACTGTACGAGAAGAGTCTTGGCCAGCTGCATCCTATAATTCATCATTAACAGAATTGTAATTGAAGTACTGTGGAGGAGCTTTGATTAGTACATGCTTTCCATCAACAAAGCACAATTGAAAGTCCTCACTTCTCCAGTAATCCGGTACTATGCCTGCCGACTGTGCTCGCTGTAATTTCCTTATGTGGTTTTCAATGTGAAGGGAAATGCTGTTGTGGTATGATCCATAGTCTGCTTATTGGTCTGTGCACACGCACACACAAAGCATGAATAGGCCATCACATTTGTCCTCTCTGCTCTGTGTAAACACAGCCTGCAGTTCAGCCAAATACTACTTGAATTTTTTGTCATGTGATTGTTGGTTGCAGCTGAATCAATAGAAGCTTAACGGTTGCATCAAAGAGTCTAGATTTATTTATTTTTTCCTGCACATTTTAAATGAGTCACGTGGAACATGTGATTTCGATTAAATGTCGTGAGTTTAAGCTTAGATTTGGTGTGTTTTACACATGTCAGGTGTGAGACATGACATTACAAAATGTTTTTTTTTTTTTTTGACAGCAACATCGAGCAGTTCAGCTGTTACTTTAAGGAGTTGCCTGCAGTGGCTCTACGCAGTGGTAAGACGGCAGGAAGAAGGATGTACCACACCCGCAGCCAAGGGGACAACAGTGTGTAAGGTCCTCTTCTGGAGGAGGGGCGATCTATGGGCATTAGTTTGATATTCATGTCAGCAAGTGCAAATTTGACAGATTTGTTATTTGTGAGTGATCGCAAAAGGTAACCTTCTCAGAAGCCACACGATGCTTATAACAGCAGGGATTACATGAATCCTGCTGCGGAAAAATACAACAAAAACACAATACTGGAATCTGACAGAAGTCCGAAAACTTTTTTTTTCCCTCTTAACCCAGAAGAATAGTGGGGAGGCTTTATTTGTTGAATGTGCTGCAGGATGGTGACAAGGCTGCTTTATGTTGAACAGATCTTTGGTGGAGGAGTTCAGGAAAACTCTTTGCTCCCTCTGGCAAGGCAACCAGACCGCCTTCAGTCCAGACTCCTTATTTTACGCCATATGGAAAATCATGCCAAGTTTCAGGTACACCAATAAACTGCAAATGCTGATCAGTAAGCTGTTTTCTTTTAGTTCTGTTCATGTGCTTAAGTGTATGATATTGTAGTCAAGATTGCTTTTTTCAATATGCATAAAAGACTCTACTGTGAGTTATTATGGAAATGTAATTCAAAGCTGTGTTTGTGTGCGCAGGGGCTATCAGCAGCAGGATGCTCATGAATTCATGCGTTACCTGCTAGACCACCTCCACAGGGAGCTCCAATACAGCCGCAACGGGGCGTCTCACCCGGTCTCACCTCAGGATGGAGTCAGACTCCCCACCACAGAGGGCAAATGCTGCATGTGAGTCCGTTTAACCTCACAATGATTTTGTTTTCGCTCTTGTTTGTGTAGGTGTTTTCCGGTCGATTTTATATTGACAAAGTAGACACATTTAGCACTGCCACAGTCATGCGGCTTATGAAAATGTCGATTTTCTTGTTGTTCCAGTAGCCCGTTATGGTCAATGCCTGTTTAACATTTCCTCTTATTTTCTTATTATTTTATCACTTGCAGAATCTGATGTGTTTTTACACCTTCCTCTGCTTATGCATTTATTAAACGCAAATGTTATACATGTGTGCACAGTAATTGATTCAAACTGCTTTTTTATATTTTTGTCAGCACATCTCTTGATAAGAACTTACTTATACATACCTTGATTTTTATTTTATTTTATTTTATTTTTTTAACAGAAATGGGACTGCCAGTGTTGTCACGTCTATTTTTGGTGGGCTACTTCAGAATGAAGTCAACTGCCTGATATGTGGGACAGAATCACGGAAGTTTGATCCATTTCTTGGTAAGATAATAACTGTTAAAAAAAATACCAGAGACATTTTGTGAATTGGCAAAACTATGTCCACTGCAAAACCTCCTCGTTGCCATCAGTCATATAGCAAAGTTCATGAAGGAATGTTAACGTAACACAAACGTACACGTGTGTGGTCAGTAACAAGACAAAGCCATTTTTTAACTGTTTCTCTGTATCACTAAGTAAAGTATGTAAAGCCATTTACTTAGATATATACATTAAACATGGTACAACCTGATGATGCACGACATTAGAACATTTTTTCTGTTCTTTTTGCTCAGATCTGTCTTTGGACATTCCTAGTCAGTTCAGACAAAAGAGAAGTAAGGACCAAGAGCCAGGGCCAGTATGCACCTTACGTGGTAAGTTTTCAACCTTCAGCAATATTGATTTCAAGCCTTTGTCTTTTTATTTATTTATTTATTTATTTTACAGTATGTGATGCTGAGCATTTTATATGTATTTCGTATTGTTTTAGACTGCTTACGTAGCTTCACAGACCTGGAAGAACTTGATGAAACAGAGCTGTACTATTGCCATAAGTGTAAAAAGCGACAGAAATCAACGAAGAAGTTCTGGATCCAGAAGCTGCCAAAGGTATATGACTGAAATACTTAATCCTTCTATTACAATTTACTAATTTCACAATTTTTGCTAAACAAATACAGAAAAGATACATTATTTGGTATAAGTGGAAGTTTGTTTTTTCCCAATTGTAGGTTTTGTGTCTGCACCTAAAACGGTTTCACTGGACGGCCTTTTTACGAAACAAGGTGGATACCTACGTGGAGTTTCCACTGAGAGGCCTGGACATGAGGGGCTACTTACTTGAGGTAAGCTCGACATGTAGTTTCCCCAATATGGTTTTTGAACTGTTGTATTCCACACACAACCAATCAAAGAGTAATTAATTCACTCTTAGACATGGACATTTAAAATCAGTGAAAATAATGATTAAAAAATAAACAAGGAATAGTACATTGATGAAAAATGGATGCAATTTAGTCAGGAAAACCCAGAAAACAGTCATGAAGTCTAGGCAACACTTGGACCTAGGGATGGGTATCGATAAGATTCTAGCAGTACTACTACTCTCACCAATACTGTTTATCGATTTGGTGCTGAAGTGATACACTTATCTGTTTTATGTTTTCTTTGGTGTTGTTGTTTTTTTGTTTAATTTCCCCTCTTTCACTCACAAAATTGAAGCAGGACTTTTTCCATGACAGTATTTTTACTGTGTTGTATTAACAGCTTCACTCTCCACAAACCAGGCAGTTGAAAATTGCATTTCCCTGCTTGTGTGCTGGATGTTTTTGCAAACTGATCATGTTTCCACTCTTACATGCAAAAGATGTTGCACTGCATCAACTCTGGTCAGTGTAACCATGATTTTTAACTGTTACTCTCTCCACAATTGTCACCACAAGCAGAGTGTTTGTGTGCTAGAAGGTGCTGCAGCATGTGACAGAGCTGCGCCTCGACCACTGAGGGAGGTCTCTCTTCCTAAAAGCATCGTAGTCGGAGTTGGTGTGATTAAATGCGCAAGATAACATTAATGTAGCAATAATAAAAATAGAAATCGATTTTTGTAATTTGTCCAGTACGGAGACCAGAACACATAACGACAGAGCTTATCAATCTTTCTGTATTTAATCCCGGGACACATTTAATACCAGGTTTTAGTACACATTTCTATTTGGACCACAATAAGAACTGCTGTAGATCAGAGGCCAAATGATTCTTTCAATTCATCCTGCTGAGAAAATTACATGCAATTTTATGGCCTTCAAAAATTTATCAAACAAGGATAATACATTTCCTCACAAATAACGTTCCATTATTCCTCCTTTTCTATGCATCCACTAGAACGGAAGATTCCAAGAGAAATACAAGTGGTCAAAGTGGAAATTTGATTGGTATTACCACAGGGGTACTTGTAGGAAATATCACAATACTGCACCACATAAACCAAGTATACTTGTGCCAAATTGAAACCTTTGTAATGAAGGTTTGGTAACCTTAAAAAATGAGGTAGGACACTATTCAAACTATGGAGAGAAGAAAAATGCTACACAACTGCTGGATATAGCAGATGAAGTGTGATGATGATCTTTAATGACTGAACTGTAATTTGGGCCAAACAGAGCAGCCACAGATAGTGTGACGTCTTGAAAGGAGGATATTATAGTAGGTCTTTTCTTTATATATATATATATATATATATACAAAAATTACAACAGCTCCTTTGCCAAACTCGTAGTTTAGTCAGAATTTTCTATCTGACAGTGGCTTTATAGCCACACAGGTGGTAAAACGTGTTTTGCTTGTTGCCAGACTGATCACTGTTACCCTCTGCCTAACTACATTTGAAAAATGATTGTCCTGTAATTACATTGTGTAGACACTAATGCTCGATGATTGTAAAGTACCAAATACATATGTTCAATTAATTAGTAACCGTAATGGACAGGCCTGTGTTCTTGCACCACCATCTGTATCAAATGTATTATTCATTATTTGTTTCGCTGGGTGGCACCTGCATTTGTGCATCAGTGGTTGGATCTCCAGCCAGTTATGTTGTTTCCATGAGTTTGAGAGATAATGACTCCGTCTTGGTCACACACTAGGTTGTCTTGCTTTGCCATCCCATTCTGTTGAACATAATGGTCTGGCTGCACCTCACTATTATTCTGCTCTAAGAGGAAAAGGTTGCGGTTCGTTTGTACGTCTTTAAAGCAGTCACAGTTGTCGTGGGCAGAGCTGAGCAAGAGATGTGGCTTCAGTGTTTTCTCAAAATAGCGACGGGTAGAATTGTTGCGGCGGAACATTTGCATGTAGGAAGATGAGAACCATAATTGAAATGGATTATTCACCGCAAAAACCTAGAAGGGGCGCTTTACTGCACCATCCCAATGCTCAGCAAAACTTCTCAGTGCGGTAGGTTGCTGCTCCAGGGTTGTTGTTGTTATTTCCCATAGTGAAGTGAGTAAGCCAGCTGAAATAATAGGTTTCTACCTGCATCCGGTGAGTCAGACTACAGACTAGGGATCAACCAATTTTTTTATTTTTGTTTTTGTTTATTTTTATTTATTTATTTACTTACTCACTTACTTACTTGCTAATGGACCGATTCCAATTTTTCGTTAACCATGAGACCAATATTTGAAAGTGAGATCCATTTACGGTAAAAATTAAAATCTTGGTGTCAAATTTTGTCTCCAATACAAAGTGTCATTGAAATGCCTTCGTGTCTAAATTACGCAAAATTGAAAGAAAACCGTTTATTCTTAAGATTGTGTGACCAATCAGGTAGTGCTTTGGGCTGGACATTGCTCGAGACCACAGATGGAGAGAGGCAGCTGCATCAGGGCCAAAGAAAATAGATGTAATTTTTTTTTTTTTATCAGAAAAAGACGGATAATTGAAAAGATGCTGAGTATCCCATGACCTCTATCATAGGGCATCAGGGTAGCAGCAGGCTTGTACTCAACATCAGTTGTTTTTGATTAGAAGTTTGTCTAAAAGCCTGGAATGCGCTGTCCTTACATCATTCTGTTGCAAAGCTTCGTTAAACGTTCACATTACAAAGTGTGTAATGGGCTAGGAACTCCAGGGGGCGCTATTCTACAGCCAGTCTGTTGTGTGATGGCCTTGATGGTTGTGTAGGTTTACCTTCTATTTAAGTAATGCACTTTATTGTCATCCTTTAAATTTCCCCTTCAAGCAAAGTTTAAGACGTCTAATGTTTTTTGTCTCATAGTTTTCCAGCTAAGCGTCTATTAGAAGTGCTTCTCCTTGTAATTTAGTGTCTAAGCCCTCATTCATTTACAAAGTTTAATTACTAAATTTGACTCCTCTTTCTCTGTGTGTGTTCACTGGATATCGGCGTGTATTTTAAGATTTAAGGTGAAACTTTTCCTACTTCAGCAGATTAGTTTGAGACTCTGCACACATTGCTCTGCACAGTGGAGGTCAAACATTTATGTGAAATGATGAGTCACAGTTTGAGTATAAAATAAACTCCTCAACATGTTGTCTCTTGCACCATCCAGATATTTTCACTGTTTTTTTTTAAACTTTTATGTTTCCGACAATCTAAAAGTAGGACGTCTAGCTCGTGTACACATCCACACACTGGGCAGTAAATCTCAGGGCATGATGGTGTGGGTACAATTAAAAAGCCCAGATTATCCTCCACAAAGTTCTCCTCTTTTATGTTCGCAGCCAGAGAACTCATTACCAGGGAGCTGCCTGTACGACCTCGCTGCTGTCGTGGTGCATCATGGGTCCGGGTGAGTAGATGTTTTCCACCTTGCAGGCTTGATTTCATGATTTATTTCTCTCCTCATATAAGAAGATGCTCAGAGTTGAGGTCACTTTACCATCTCCTCGCCTAAGAAGTGTCCTCGTGTAAGCACACGGATAGGGAAGGTATGATTGATATTTATTGCTTCTGGGCTTAATCTCTTAAGTATAACTCGCTGATTCAATGAGCACTTCCTGCAGCTTCATGTTGCAGCTATTTGATACGGCTTGTTTGAGGTTAGTAGGATTTTTTTTTTTCCGCCTCCAGTATTTTACTGATAGCACAATTAGAGCATGAAATCAAGACTTGGCCGTAGATGTACACATTATCATCCGTCAGCCAGCTTTGCCTACAGTAGTAGACTGTCAATCACCCGATCACTGTATAAACAATTGAGATCCAGTTTTGTCAAAATGCCTTGTGGACGGCTACAGTTTAAAAATTCATGTAACCACTAAATGCTGAAAGGCATTAGGCTGAGAGTCCTTGAAAGTGCATTGAGATATGACAAGAATCAGAGTACTGCTGTCTTCTCTTTGGCCTCTAAGTGGCACTGTTGCACTGCTCCTGTGTTGGCAGGCTGAGTGTGTCCCTGTTGGTTTAGTAGCAATAAATGAAGTGTTGTATTAAGCCAGGCAACGGAACGTGATATACTATATGTGTCTGTGTTTGCAGGGTTGGATCAGGGCATTATACAGCATATGGCAGCCATGAGGGCCGCTGGTACCACTTCAACGACAGCACGGTGACTCTGACCAATGAGGACACAGTGAGGAAGGCCAAGGCCTACATCCTCTTCTACGTGGAGAGGACTGGTCAGGTGGCCTCAGACAAGATTGCCACAAGTAAGCCTGCCGCGGACACGACAGCCACGGACGGCGTTTCTTCAGAAACAGTATCTCAGGGTCAGGTCGCAGCAGACGCAGTAGCCACAGACGCGGTTTTGATGGATGTGGCAGCCGCACACGTGAATATCCTGGACGAGAAAGCCCAAGATAATTCTACCCTGGAAGATGTGAGCAAAGACACGGCTGCAGTGGACGAGGCCGACGCAGCGTCAGAGGAAGCTGCGACAGATATGGATACCTCAGACAAGGCTGCGACAGAGGAAGCTTGCCAAGCTGTACAAACTGTTGCACAATGATTCTGTGAGATTTCACTGCCTCAGACCAGCTCGTCACTCCATTTTGTATTCACCTCAATCACACGTCACAATGCTTGATTATTATAGTTAATTTTCACATGTAATGTATCTGCATCTCTCTTGTGTTTATGAACTGCTTGACAGCACCACGTATAACTTGCTGCTTAATTATTATTTGTTTTGTTTAGTGTGACTTTTTTGCATTTATTTGCTCGATGATATATTCCTCAGTTGAGGTAGACTTCTCTGTATGTAATAGATTCCAAAGGTGATCGTTTAAAGTAATGAAGTAAAGCTTTAGCCTTGGAAAACCTCAGTTGGTCCAATGTTTAGCCTGATTAGACTGATGAGATTATTTGTGTCAAGACACTGTGTCATTGTAACAATATTTGGCATTTCTATTGTTTTTAAAGTGTCTAATTTTATATTTTCCACTTCTTAAGAACCTTGTAGTTCTGTTTTCCAGTTATTAAAGGATATTCTAGGATTTAGAATGCAATGCATTTGACTGACGAGTGCTCATTAGGGCTTTAGAACGTTCTTTTACTCCTCTTGAACAGAACCGATGTAAAAGAAGTGATCATTCTCAAAGTTTTTTGTCTGTATGGGTGCTGAAGTTTAACATGTTGTGTTAATCTGAAATGGGCAAACTTGGGACCTAATGAAATTCTCTTTTGTGTGTATCAGGCGCCGCGAATATGACAGAATACAATGGAGAATATTTTATTCAGATGTGTGTTGTAATGTTTTAATCAGCTCTGATGGTCCTTTTGTAATGTGCCAGTGCATCCATTACCACAACCAGACAGCCTGTAGCAGTTAGAGCGAGACAGCAAGACAAGGTTGTTTCTATCTGCCATTACTGTTGCAAGCTGCTAAAATCTTTTTATCCACTAGGTGCTAATGCCATGTAGTGGTAATCTTTTAAATTGCGAAATCTCCCATAATTGAATTACCGAAGTGTGAGTAATCAACCCTAGAATCGTGTTACTACACCGTCTCCTAAGACGAGACAGCTGGGTCAGATGGAAAAGGGCATTTCAACTCTTTATCCTTTTGCACTAGGAAGCTGGAGGGCATTTTCCACTACTTTTTTTTTTTCATCTTATATGGAACAGTTAATCAATTAGACAGGAAATTAATCAGCAGATTGAGCTCAAAATACAAACCTTGATGAAAAATCTCTTGCTATACTTGGCCACAAGTCTTTCAGCATGCACTGCATCATGGAGTTTATATTAACTCTCTACTCTTCCTACGTTTTACTAGTTAATTTTAAACACTTTGCACAGTCTGATCTTTATATTATTTCTTGTCGTCGATGTTTTTGTAAGTTGGACACATGCACAGCAGAATGTACATTGTGTACATTCCTAATCCCAACACCCTTATTTAGTCTTGTAACGGTAAACGGCCTTTGATACGTGTAAGCACAACTTAAGAGGAGAGTGCAAAATTTTTTAGCGAGCCTTTTTTGTTGTTGTTTTTCCTCTTCCCTTCGGCAAAGATCTCCACACACACACACACTCTCTCACACAAAGAGCTCCCGTCAGGACACGTGCCAGCCAATAAACCCTCTCTCTCTCTCTCTCTCTGGCAGGAACAAGCACTCCTGTATGCTGAGGAACAGCTGCTCTTCATCGCCTGCTCACAGGTGGCTGTGAATTTGCTACTCTGTCCCCATTAATGACACAAGTGGCCTCTTTTCCCCTCTGTCTCTCGCTCTCGCGGGCTAGATCGCAGCTGCTAATAATAAGCTCACATTGCATTGTGTTTGTTGGAAGAGATCTGGTCTGGTTGGTGGTTGGTTTAGGACGTCATGACACAGTGAGTCAGAGTACAGAATGTCACCCGCCTCGAAACAGTGGCATTTCCCCCCATCATCTCCTGTGTTGTTCTTTTTTTTTTTTTTTTATTCAGACAGATTGATGATAACAAGTGGAACAGGACACAACTGGGGAAGGAGTGTTGAGTGATGACATAGATATTATGGTATTTTGCCATTTGACATCAGAGTACGCGCTGTACGCTGAAATTGCGTAAATACTACATCCTGATGCGTTTTCAGGACATTCTGAATCATGACCTTTTTCCCCCAACATCTCCCTGTGTTTTTTTTTTTTTTTTTTTTTATTCAGACAGATTGATGATAACAAGTGGAACAGGACACAACTGGGGAAGGAGTGTTGAGTGATGACATAGATATTATGGTATTTTGCCATTTGACATCAGAGTACGCGCTGTACGCTGAAATTGCGTAAACACTCTGAGTCATAGTTTATTGTGTTCTTTAGGCTAAGCCCTACACCGCACTGTTCCTGCTCGTGACTTTCACTCACGTGAAGGGCTTTGCAGGTTAAGGTTATGAGATTATTTAGTGAAGTAATTATCTTTAGAATGATAAAAGGGAAACTCTCAGGTCAATAAGTAGGTCATTCAAGTTGTGTTGTGAAGGTGTCGTTTAAGGCAGCAGGTGTCTACTACTGTAAATACCACAGCTGTAAAACCTCTGTTTAACACTCTCTGTGGTGACAATCACGGTTTTCCCCTTGTTACCATGTCCATATTGTGTGTCTGTTTTTAATATGCTCGATCACATCGTGTTCAAAATAACACCATGACTAAGCGTTTCCACTTTGGAACTGAAGAGTTTCATACGTAACAAACGAGTCCTGTCAAAACTCAGCTTTCAAACATGTACAGCTAAATTACTCCAATTATATTGTGTAGCGTTGACAAGTTTTTCAATGTTTGAGCAGAGTGATGGTGAGCTGGTGTGCCTGAGCTGCAGTGAGGGTTGGGGATCTACACACACGAGAGGATGTAACAAATTATATTGAAGCATTTTTTAGCATTTTTCAGCAGGAAGGGATCATTTTAATGGAAAAATTGCAAAAATATATTTATCGTTTTAATACACAGATGAGTTTTAATCACTGAGGGACGTTAATTACTGGAAATATTCACTCAGTTGTTCATGTGTATGAAGGACATATGTATAAAGATCCCCTCAAAGCATTTTTTAAAATAACATCTCTGCTTCATATTATAGTTTGAGTCTTGTATGTTTTTCCCACAAAAAAAAAAAGGGAAAAAGTCTCTGAAGTTGGAATTACATCCACCCGCTCACCCTCATTGAAAAATAATGAATGTGGAAACTGCCTTCTAGTGTGAAACTGCACATACATCATTCTGCACAGTGACGGTCAAGCATCCAAGTGAAATAACATTAATACAAAACACATTTTTTGATTGGACGGAGGCTTTAACTCTCAGCAACATGGAAAATTACAGCTCGGGATGCTTTTATCGCGGTGGAGGTGTTTCTCTTTCTTGTGTCTGTCAGCGTGTATCTGTATCTCAGAACTAGGCCAGAGCAGTGTAAACATCTGGCTCGCTCAAGTGCTCGCTGCCTGTTGAGAGCCATGACAGATGGAAAGGGAGCGTATGGCTCAAACACTTCCATCTTTGACCGTGCCGCAGTTGTCTTCCCAAAATAGCCCGCACTCCACGGCCTTATATGTGCAGGCCTTCAGCGTGTGCCTGAGGGGGCATCATGTATCTAGGCCACACAATGCAGGCTGTGGGCTCATTGTTGCTGCCTACCAGCAGGCCTATCGCCGCCCCAGGGACGAGGCCTCACTTTACGTCTCGGGACGGCCCGCCATGCATCTCGCTCAGCTCAACCGTGAGTGTCTCCTCCACCTTTTCTCCTTCCTGGACAAGGACAGCCGGAGGAGTTTGTCCCTTACCTGTCATCAGCTGCGTGAGGTCTTCCTGGACCCCCGCCTCTGGAACCTACTGCTCTTCAGCTCCCCTTGTCAGCTAAGAAAGGACAACTTTGTGCTGGGACCCTCGCTGCGTTACCTGACTATTTGCTGGTACTCCAGCAGGGTCCTGCAAGTGTGCAACATCGAGGACTGGTTGAAGAGCTCGTTTCAGAGGGATATCTGCAGTAAACATGAAGGCCTTGTCAGCACTTTTCTGGCCCATGTCTGCCACATGTGAGTGTCTGTGTGCACTTCTTCTCCCCTGCTTTGTTGTGTGTGTTATTTTTTTTGGAATGACAACTGATAAAACACTTCTTTATGATGAGCGATGAAACGGATGAAAAGATGCTGAACAAAACAGCAGTTTATAATTTACCGCAACATAACCTGAGGTGGTGGATTTTTTGGCTTGTGAGACCATAAACAAAAAAAGAAGAGAATTTTTCAACAGTGGAGTTAGTCTTCATTCTTACGCATGGAAAGCTGATCATAAAAACATCATCTTCTGGTCAGATATGTCTTGTGGATGATCACACGATTTTGGGGGGTTTTAGGATCATTCACACCCACAACAGGGAACAAAATGGTTTTCATTTAAAGCCACATGGCTTAGTCAAGCTGCCATAGCTGTAGGCAGCAGGGAACAAAATCATTAGAAACAGATGCTGTATCTGGAGCTGGCTATATAGACAGAAAAATGACACATCTGTGGGACTTAAGACTGATTCTATTAACTAACATAACTGTGGTTGCATATCAAATTATATTTATTGAATGACGTGACAGTTGGATTTGATAGGTCACTGAAATGTAGCTGTTTTGGCATTTGGCCTTCTGCGTGCGTGGCCGGCTCCATGCAGGAATCAGCCTGGAGAGGCGTAATGAGGTCTCTGGATAATTTCTTCAAGGCAGCCAGTAATAACCGTTGATGTGAGGGAGCTTGGCCACCGCAGCTGGCCGAGACCAGAGGAGGGGAAAAGGGGGCTGGCTCGGTGGCGCGCCGTATGACCCTGTGAGGATTTCCTGTATTGTGAAATTTGAGACGCGAGGCTGACATGAGAGCCGCGAGATGAGTCGAAACTAGAACCACGTACTTTGTCTGGGGCTTGTAGCTCAAAGCCCTCAAGGCACGCTCAGTGCATACTGATAAACCCTCCCAAATTGTCAAAGGCAGACGAAAGCAAGCGCACGTGACAAAGTGGGAGGGGACACAGAGGAGCTGTGGGGGTGATAAAGAGTGATTTAGCCACAGACCCTCCCAGTCAGCTGCATACTGGAGATTTATGCAGGCAGGTGGAGCCTACAATTGGCTCTTTGTTGCTGTCAGAGCAATGAACATGTGCGTCTGTCTCTGCCTGCCTCTTCCTGGATAAGACTCCACGCAAACTCTGACGCCAAGCTCATGTCTATCTGTTTTTTTTATCTTCATGGAAAAAAACTATAAAACACGGCATGTCTTTGGGACCCTTTACGGTGTAGTTTGCAGTGTAACGCTCCTCTAAAGCCAGATGGCTACAGTAAATCAATTATCAACAACTCAGCTGTGATTTTCTTGAGGTCAGAGTATTAGAATTATATAACATAAATTAACATGCTATGTAGTGTGGGCTGCGCAGTGGGTGGCTCAAGAAGCTTTGGCATGAGACTTTCTGAGTAGTTTCATTCCAAACTTTCATATGCACCATTTGGATAAATTGATGCTTTCGCTTACGAAACGAGAACAAGCACATCTTGGGTTACTATTTAAGTTGTACATTATAACTTGTGCTTACAAAGTACATAGAATTTTAGCTGACAGCTGCGTTTGAAAGCATTCTACTACTGAGTCTAGGAAGCAGAAGACTCCTAAAACCTATTTAGCCTGTTCAAAACAAACCATTCCAGTTAAGAGACCAAAGGAGATGAAGAGTAAATGTACGTCTCAGTTCAGTTTAGAGTTCACTGGATAATTTGACCAGACAAAATAACCGTTAGGAAACCAAACGGCTCATTAGAGAGATGATTACAGGTTAGCCGTGCGGTGTTCTGCTTGTACTCAGCAAACACCAGAATGCTCTCTAAGCTGTTCGTTTTAATGGGAACTACATCATGTCTCAAACATAAATGGAAGTAAGAAAACACTGCAGACATTTTTGAGGTTCGTGCACGTATAATTAGACAGATGCATTGCACGATCACCTACTTACACTCCGCGACCACTTTTGAAACGATCGTGGATTTTGCTTTTTTTCTTCTTCCAATAAACAGGTTTTCGCCGCTGTTAGCGGAAGTTGGAAAATGTTAACGGAAATCGGTTATGCTGATAAAAAAAATTATCTGCAGACCACCAAAAGAGGTGCTATGAGCCAGTTTTCTAATGTGCCTAAAATTAGATATCGCTAAATCTGTGGGTATGCAAATGTGCATATGTGTGTGAGAAAGTAACAGAGAAGAATTTGACGAGCAGAGATCAAGACAAGGTGGTTAAGTAACTGGAGCAAACACAAAAGAATCTGCACCAAGAGAGGGGAAGTGGCATGAGAGGGTGGATTATGTAACAAAGGTTGATGATTTTTCTTTTCATTCCTGTTATATTTATCTCCATTCACTTCACTGTGTGTAGTATTTTCTCTCCTGACACACACACATAGTCATTAGAGAGCAAATGGATCTGTAAATGTCCTCTATTTTTAAATGTCAATACTGTGCAGTCACACGCCCTGATAAAGCCCGTGCAGCGATGCAACAGGGCACATGGATGTGCTGTGCTGTTGCATGTTCAGAGGTTACTAGGACAGTACCCTCAACACTTGCCGGCAACGGGGAAGATGTTTGACTCACATGTATTAAAGTGGTAAGATTATGTAAGTCTTTATGTAAGCTGCAGCAGCCAACATAAATGACATCCACGATTCCATTGCCATCCGAGTGCCTGTCTGCCTGTTCTGTGCTGCGAGTCTGCCAGCAGGCTGCAGTGCACCCCTCACACTGCATGGACGTATGCAGCAAACACATGCGTTTCACTGCAACACGTTTATTTTAAGATGTCATTTCTAAAGAAAAGAAAAAAAAAAAAAAAAAAGTTGTGTTGCTGGCATGCTATAATTCATCGAACATCCTGTAATTGTTCTTTTCAATAGCAGTTACTGCATGTATTCACAAAAGCTTTCCAGTGAACGGAAACACATATGCCCCAGTGGGACGGCGTATAAAGAAAGACTGGCTGGGTTTAGGCATCTACACAGATCATGTTGCTGCATCTCAGTAGTGTTGTTTACATGTCATTCATACATGACACAGATCAGACCCTCTGATCTATACGCTCCCTTCTGTTATTTGATTCTTGATGAGACCTGAGCAGTATTCATCGGAGAAATAAGCACACACGCCAAACAGCATTGCTTATTTAAGACTTGTTCTTCTACAAACATGCTAATCCCTCCCTTGTATAACTAGAAACCCTGAGGCGTGAGGAGGAGTAATGACACAGAACAGGTGTTGTACTCCATCACATGTGAGGAGGCCTGTCCTTTGTTACTGACGTTGCCGACTGCTGTCTGTACCACAGGTGTCCCAACCTGCTTTCGCTCACCCTGTCCGGCTGTGGACACATCACTGACCAGGATGTGATCTCCGTGCTGCAGAGCTGCAGGAAGCTGCGCCGCCTCCACCTGGAGAACTGCGTCCGCATCACCGACCGCAGCCTGCAGGGTGTGGTGGCTCACGGAGGCAATCTGGAGGAGGTGAAGGTGGACTTCTGCAGGAACATCACTCAGGCAGGGCTGCAGAGCTGCGGGGAGAGGAGGCCGGACATCCAGCTGAGCGCAGAAAGGAGCGCTGATATGATTCCTGACAGCCAGCCTGAGGAGAAGGTGCCGCTCAGGAGGACGCTGCAGAAAGTCCTGCAGTTTTCCTGAGAGACGTGCGTCACATCCACAAACACAGGGACCACAAGGAAGAACATTTCTGTGACTTTAATGTGAGGACTTGACTGTGATGCTTTTGCTCTGGTTTGTATTTGTATTTATTAGAAGTGTTTTGCACCTTTTTTTAAAAAACCTTTTTGTACAACACATTTTTTCTACAAAGACACAATAAGTCTTATCTGACCTAACAAATAATAAACCAATGTTTTTGGAAATATGCTTGTTAGCGTCTTTAATGTCAGTGCTGCTCTCAGATCTGGATGGTAGGTTAAATATGAACACAAAACCAGGAGCTTTTTGTACCTCCTTCACTCACTGGTGCACATATTTTATCTCAAGTGTTTCAAAATATATATATATATATATTGACAAATTGACAATGTTTATGAAGGATTATGTGCCACAGTATTTTTTGACCAGGAGCAGTTCATACAAGCAGTGGAGACTCCGAGAAGTTTCTGCTCCCAGCCAAGACATAGCTGCCATGTCGAATTACATATCATCGTTTTCTCCCCCGTGTCTTATTCACTGTACAGATATGAGAGTGTCGTCAATCACATCAGCTAATTCTATGAGAAACTGAATGAGCATTTTTCTCCGAAATGTCAAACAATTCTTTTAATGGAATTTGAGAGTTTGATTAAAATATCACTCACGCCTTCCCCGGAGCGCTTCTGCACACCTTCGCAGTAGGAAAAAAAAAACAAAAAGAAAAGGTGTTTGGTTGTCATGTGAGCCATTGGAGGAGGAGGAGGGTTTCTCCCCGAGCAAAGGGGCCCTGAGTCTGAGCTGTGATTGGAATCTTGTTACATAAGACAGTGACACGTATGAAAGTAGGTTGATTAGGTGTGTCTGTCTGTAAATGCCATGTGACAGATTTATTGCAGGCTGCTGCTGCTGCTGCAGGGTGCTCCTCGACCTGTGATTTAAAGAATGACCGTATATCCGCACAGAAGGTCAGCCGAGTGAAGAATAACCTTTATTCCCCTTCCAACTGGGAAGTGCGCACACACACACACCTACACACACAGACACACACAGATAAAGTGTATACTGTATATATATCTCGTCACCTTAACAACAATATCTGAAAAGCCCACAGCCCAGCAGGAAGGTTATAAAAGGTTATTCCTCATCTAGCTAGTATTTCATCCTCCCAAAGCATGCTGGGTGTTTGGTTACACAAAACAGAGCCAGTTTAGAAATGCGGTCCGAGTGGTTTCGGCCACAGGATCAGTTTCAAACATTCAGTTTTGGCTATTAGAGAAGCATTTAGAGTTACATTCATTCACATTCACAACGTTATCTTTTTTACGAAGCCAAAAATGTCGCTCATTACGTAGTTAAGCATCAGAAGACATATAAATTACCTTAACGATATAAGCGAGAGACTAAACATCAGAAACCTCTCTGAGCACCACAACCCCCAAAATGACTATACAAGAGAATCAAGCCCTCTTTAAAAACCCAAACTTGAACACAAGCCTGATTCTGTAGCTGGATGTATCTGATAAACCGTAAAGTTATGATTGATTTTAGATAACATTTAATCCGTTTTATCCTTATGATAGTGCTGTATGCGAGGTTTTAACATGCAGGAATGTGCCGTTTCCCAGCAAGGAAGCCCTAAAGCCAGCTGCAACACACAATTCTGCCTTTGCATTGAGACAGACGCTCGCTGTTTAGACACCAGCCAAAGCTGTATAATTTACTATCAAGAAAAACCGACTTAATAGCAACGGATCAGACAGTTTAGAGTTATGAGTTCCAGGTGAGGCGACTCCTGAGGCACATCCGGCTGCCTACAGCCCTTCGAAACAGTAACAGGACTACTTGCTAGACGTGTAACAACACGACGGTAGCAAAGCGCCACTGTTGTGCCTGTTTCGACTAGGGGTGGTGCTTTTATGGCTGTATGATTTTAAGGGAGGACATTCTTGAAAGACCTGTTGCCCAGACGCATGTCCTTAAAGGCACTGCGTTTCGCCTCGCAAGCCCTTTGATGCGTAGCAGCTGCGAGCTTTCGTCGATGTCTGCTGTAACATCGCATGACCTCTCATTCATGCAGCTCCCTTGGTCTTGGCTGCGGCGTGCATGAAGCATCCAGCCTTCACTGTTGTGGAATCTCGGGGGAAAGTAATGATTTATGTCACTGAACAAAAGTTACAGTCTGAGCTGAACAATAACTTTCTATGTGTGTGATATTTAAATGAGTGCGCAGAACAATAAACAAGAAATTCATGGTATCTGCTATAAAAATCTAAAACATTTCATAAAATGCTAATTCAGTGTTATTCCTTAATAGGCTTTCTACTAGTACATTCAGTGCAGTTGTTCTGGCTGTATTTTGCTGTACAAAGGGCTGTTCATAAGCGAGCTGGTGAAATATAAGCCCTCGAAGATCAAATGTGGACCCCCCCATGCGTCTGTCTCCACTGCGGAGTGTGAAAGGACTCGGTTAAGAAGTACTGAGATGGAACAGAGTGGGTTTGGGGGGTTGGGAATAACTGCGTCTTCAAACAGACCACACTTTGCAATTACTGTATATCCCTCTTTTATGAGAACAGTCTGCAGGAAGTTTCATGTTCCAAAAGTACTAAAGTAGAATATTGTGCCAAAAGTTCTCCGGTTGGAGCATCAATCAGGACGAAACATTTTATCTCCATGACACCGCTCGCAGAAACTATTTTATAAAAGAAGAGATGAGATTTATTTGAATGGCCCGAAGAATGTTTCAGTTGAAACACTGGCGGACGACTCGTTGCCAGTTTTCTCTTTTTGTTCTGTAATTCTACTACTGAGAACACAAAATTTGTTTGGATTTCACGTCTCCTTGCTTTTGTAAGTCTGCTTTCCGCAATATTTCAGCCAAATAATCCTCATAACACGTTAAGTGTCTGGAAGAGGAACGTTGTCAGTGGTGAAAGAAGTGCTTAAGAAGAGCAAGAAATACTCCATAACAAGTAAAAGATGTGAACTCAAAGTAAAAGTATAAAAGAGTTAGCAGGAGGGAAAAGTCAGTAAAAAGCTTAAAATATAGTTATTATTATATATCATAGAATCATATGAGATTTTATTCTGCTGCATTATTGTCTTGGTAGTATTTTAATGTTGCAACTGTAAGTTTTGGTTTTAAATATGAATTTGCAAAAATAATTGAAGAAAAACATCAGTACCTCAAAAGTGTACTTCATGCATTTAGTTACTTTTCACCACAATTAAATGGGAGAACGTGAACTAAACTAAGACTCAGCTTTACCTTGCTGACAAAACCCCTTCAGGAAACGGAGATGCAACAAACCAGACCATCACTGGCACGTGGTGGGAGACATTCGAACTAAAAGAACAGCGAGATTTCCATTCTGATTCTGTGCTCCTGACAGAAAATCATATAAAAGCCTAATTGCAAAGGTTTGATTAAATTTGTTACTGCTGCCACATTAGAATAACAAATTTCATTAAAAATTTTCAGCCAAGGGAAACAGCTAACTGTCTAATCATTTTAATTAGCCGCTCTGCTCTCGACAAGTGGCGTCACGTGGAGAGATGAGAGACCATGATGTTAATGATGTGGCATTTTCTTGCATTTAGTTAGCAAGCCTGTTGCATTTTAATGTGCATCGAATGGCAACAAAAAGTAAGTCTACATTTGAATCATTAATTTGTTAATATAATTAGTGTTTTAAAATATCCTGTGTTTTGCACGGGTTCCTGCCAGGTGACAGCGGCGTATAAAAAGCAAGAGTGAAATAAAAAAAAACACATGAAGGACACTGATTTTCACACTTGCAGAAAGGTTGCACGCACGTTTTTGGCCTTCTGCCTTTGAAAGGTTTACTTTCTTAACTCGTTTGCCTCGCAGTGACACTGTTTATTTTGGTTCCTCCGCTTTCACTAAATGACTTCTAAAAGCCTTCGTTTAGACCAGAATGAAATATTAAACCGGTGGAAAAAGAACCTGTGCAGTGATTGTGGTTTTCAAGAGCTTCACAACAACTGTGTCTCATTAAAGTCGCTTCTTTTCAACCTTATAACAGCACTGAAGCACTTTAAACCTGCACCTCAGAGTCAGACTCACAATGGATAGTTAAAAGAAAAAAATGACAACCAGCAATATCTTGAAAATCTCATTGTGTGCTTCCTTTCATCAAAACCATCTCTTTTTTAAACCTACATTACCCACAATGCAGCTCATTCTGAGATTCAGTTGTCACTGTTAGAATAAAATTCAAACTCTTTAGTTTTTTTTTCCACATTCAAACTTGCAGCCATCGGCCCCGTCCAATGGGATTTTGTATAGCTCTCTCAGGAGTATTACTGCTGTGCAGCAGTGCTCCCCAAGACCTCTTTCCTTATTAAATTGTACTTTCACATAATGTAGAATTGTGCATTAGACCATCTCATTTCAGAAATAGTTTGCTGCAGCCTCTCCGTGGGTTTTAGTACCACCCAATGAGTCTCTTGTTAGCTACAACCCTCCAAATCAAATCGACCTTTTACAAACTGGAAACCTTTATGTGTCCTTCTGGTAAGATATGCCATAACGGTGCTTTCTGCTTCAAGTGTGAATGCAGTCATGAACAATAAAGTTAAAGAACGTGATTTAGAACTTATTCAAAATGCACACTCATCAGGTTTTTATCAGGCCTTTGTTTGAACTCACTGAGAATTTGCATTAGAGCGGTGGACAATATACAGACTTGATGTTATTCCAAGTGGTCCTAAATGATTAGTGATATAGTCCATACTATAAACACTGTACAAAACATTTTTTTTGCGAGGAAAAAAGCACAATACAAAGTCTGTATCCTGCCATTAGCAGAGCAGACTGGCCATATACATAAAATGCTCTCAGGATGACAGCAGGAAAACATCCAGCATGTTATCTTAAGGATTCACGCTGGGAGAAGGCCTTTGTGGAGCTGCTAACGCGGGCCTTTCCCCTTGTGTGAAATATGAGCTGATAAAGACAGGATGCTGGCTGTAATAGAGGGAGGGGGGAAACTGAAGCAATGGAGGTAAAAAGGGAAGGCGTAGCCATTTGAGTCCTGAAACCTGAAATCAGCAGTTTCCTGACAGCCTTATAAGGTCAGCCATGGGAGGCATTTCCAGTATCTACCCCCCTCCCCGATTACTCACCCATAGAGGGGTCGGGAGGAAGGGTGGGTGTGGAGGCTTCAGCTGCAGGGAGGACAGACGAGGAAAGAGGGAGGGT